ATCTGTGGCTTCCAGCCAAATAAAAGACAGGAATAAGAGTTGAACATGTACCTGAGGTATATACATCCCTTGGAAAGAACAATCATGGGAGAAGGAAGGGCTGTTTACGCACAGGGAGAGAGTTCAGGGGGCAGGAGTGCATGGAGGGATGGACACAGGGAAGAGGTAACTATTGGGAGGAAGTGGGAGGGGAGGTGTTGCATTGGAGCAAACTGTCAATGTCATCAGACAAAGTGTATGTGAACTGCTGTATGGAAAGTGAATTTGCTCTGTAAATTTTTATTCAAATCACAATAAAAACAGAAAGAAAGAAAGAGGCAGAGGTGGAGCAGAGCAAGTCCTTGGACCTGAGATCCCTGTGCTGGATCTCCTTGGCAGAGAGACTGGCAGAGAGTCAACAGAGAAATGGTAGCACTGGAACCATGAGACAAGAGACAGAGTGGTGGGCCTGCCAGCCCACAGAGCAAGAAAGCTGAATTCGTTTGGGCAGGAGACTTGCTGGCAGAGTGGAGTGAACCTACGTGCACCTACTTGCAGAGCTGAAAGAGCTTTGAAACACTTGCCCACACAGAGCAGAGGGCAGGACAAGAGGCCAAGAGACAGAGAGGCATGAAGGCACAGGAGAGGAGAGACTGTCCTGATCAAAGCATTATATCCTGAATGCTTTCCTGAACCTGAATTGTAACCTGTTACTTCCCTGATAAACCCCATAATTGTGAGTATTGTCTGAGTTCTGTGCGGCCTTTGCAACGAATGATCGAACCCAGCAGAGAGATAGTGAATGGTGTGGGAGGAACATTTGGTGTCAGAATTGGGATAAAGGTTTTGAGGGTGGTGGCATGTCTGGCCTCATAGGAATTAGCTTTGGGTTGTTGGTGTTGATCCTTCTCTCTCCTCCTAGTGAAGTTAGAGGAAGTCAGAGGAAGATGCCACCCCATGCCCTCTTTGCAACAAGAAAGATATTTACCAGTGTTTTATAGATTGTGCAAAAACATATGAGTGGCTTCTGCGTCGTGGTGCTGCTTGTGTG